TTTTCCATTTTTTCTCTCGGTTTATAAAATACCCATTCGGTGACCATCATTAGAATTAAAGCTTGATTTCCGCTCCTTTGCATACTTCCCTGCGACATACAACATTTTTAACACTTTAAATTTATTATTTATCATATTAAACAACATGGTAGGCCCAAAAAATAAAAATAAAGCAACATTTTTTTCTTCTGAAATTTCTATTTTTCTTGTCGGTGAGTGTGCTAATTGGCCAAATATAAATTTGTTTTATTCGAATCATCATTTTAGACAAGGTACAAAAAAGTTTACCATATCTACGACCATACTACATCTGAAGATCGAGAATATAGAAGTTGTTAATAGTTTAAATGATTTTTTGTTCTAGAGTGGATACCCTATCCATGCTGTAACAATCACAATTTACAGCCATGGTTACAGCAACATACACGCAAAGATCGTACGCAGCGGATACCCTACGCGGTGCTATTTACACGATCTTTTGTTACTTTTTCGCCAGTGACGTCATGGTAAAATCGTATAACTTCATAAAAAAAAAAGCCAAAAAACGATTTTAAGGTTGTTATTAATGGCATATCAAAAATCCTCTCTAGAACAAAAAATCATTTTGCTAGTTTTCTTTTAAAACTGGTACCGGTACTTCAGGCCGCCTCACCCGAAACTGGTAAAAATTCCTTAAAATAATATGCTGCCAAAAGCTATATTATGGTGGTCTATGTTATAGGAGTGCATTCAGAGGTGGCGCCAGCAGGATTGAGGAGGGGGCGGGGGCGAGGCCCTCTGAGTTATTTTTAAATAGTTTACCATTGTATAAAAAACCTACCGATTTCAAAGAGTGGATCTGTCGTGTGTTTTAAAGACTACGGTGACGTGTACGTTTAATGTAACTATAATTTGGTTAAGTGTACAGTACAGTATACGGTACATAATGATCAATTTTTCTGTAATTCAATAATTCTGAGTAAAGTTTTCTATTTGTAAACAATATTTCAAACAATTTGTTTTGTAAACATTTTTATTAATTTTTCAAATGAACAAGCATAGGCATACTACACTCATCTTAAACCACATACACTAAAATAGAATAGGTCTTTGCTTAAACAAATTCCTACTTTCGTTCTGTTTTATTGATTAAATTATACGACTGGAGAGTGTATGTGCAATGGGACCTATGGTGAGTGAACTGACTCTCCATTATTGATAAAGGTCACTGGGACTTGGTGCTATAGCATGTGACGTCCCCTACTGCTCAGGGTGGGGGATCGACGTTAAGCTGGTTTTCCACTAGGCGAATTTATTCGCGCGAATCAAGCGTCGGTTCTTCCAGAGCTCTGATTGGTTGCGCATTTTTTCCCTTCTCAAAAACTTCGATGGGAATGTGAATGCGCATGTGCATGAACGAACCGACGCTTTCGATTCGCGCGAATAAATTCGCCTAGTGGAAAACCGACTTTAGGGCTGTCGTTCACCACAATGCATAGTCTAATGGATGTGTGGGTCTAGTTAGAACCTGAATTATCGTCTTTACTGTTCGATGATTGGGGGAGTCCGATTAAAACATTGAACGCTTCATAGAGAAAGAAAATATTTTATATTCTATATATTTTATTTTCTTTCTCTATGAACGCTCTAACCCGTATGCATGCTTACCCAGCTAACAGTATTACGTTATAAGAACGTTATAATAAACAGTTTGTGAATAAAAACGTTATTTTGTAGAACCATATGTACAGTACTTACTTTATAATGTCAAAACGTTTGAATCTTACAACGTTGTGCGAACGTTTTCTTACATACCTAACTGCAACGTTCGCGAAAGTTTTGTGTTTGCTAGGTAGTTTAATCATGGTTTAATGTACTTTTCTGATTTGTAGCAGACTTTTATTACTGTTACTCTTACAGCTACTGTTGTGGTACCGTATTGTTTATTATTACAGTATATTATTATTAATATTATTTTTTTGTCGTCTTCATCATCAACATTGTCATCACCATTATTCTTAATTACTATTATTTAGTAAAATATCTCATTTTATGAAAAAAAATTGCTTGATGTACTTATAAAATTGTGGTGGAGATAATAAACAAAAATTACGAAAACGTGCTTGATGTTTACTTGACAATTGCACTTTCATGCTTATGCAATCAATCATCTGATGTGTAAAGTGAAGGAGGCGAAGGATGTCAATTATTGTTTTATTGATTATTTCTTTATTGTTTTTCTTTATTTTTATTCCAAACCAACAGTGTAAACACCAATAATAAGAACATATAAGGTAATAGGCCTAATAACTTAATTTTGGTAACTGTTGCATATTTTTTAAATTTTTTTTTTGTATTTCTGTTGGTTTTTGATGATTGTCTTTTTTGATTTTTTTTATATGTAAGCGTAATGTATTTTAAATTTCAAATATTTATTGTATTACACCCGGTTATACAACACAATACAATACAATACAATATATCTTTATTCATCCCACATGGGGCAATTCAATAAAAGGATCTGGATTACAAAGCTTAAAAAATAATAAAATTAATAAAAAAAAACAAAAAAAAAACACTACGTTATAAAATACAATTGACGGGTTACCCGCTGTTTTGATGTGAGATAAAACTATCCGCGATTTTGAAAAACGCCAATGTTACCGTAATTTTACCAAATTCAGATTAATTTTTATTCGTTATTATATCAATTACCTGAAATTATTTCCTGAGTAATATACACATAAATACAACAATAAAAATTATAAATAAGCCTATTCTAAAATATTATACAACAAATCAGATCAGATTCAGAAAGTTGCTTCAGAGCAGTTTCAGAGAAGCAGATTATAGAGGGCGAGATTTACGTTTTTTTCATCCTCGGCAACAAAGCCCAGGCCTAGTAGTAGTAGTACTACCTCGAGAGTAAGCCGAACTTGGAACCTCAAAATTTATTAGAAGCTAGGCCTAGGGCATAACTACTTAATGGAGTTTAAGTAAATAATGTTATTAATCCACTATTCGTAGACTAATAATACAATAATGAAGCAAAAATGACCGAATTTGGTGATAAAGTTGTAAGCCTAGGCTAGAACAATTCTTGGTAGTCTGCTCTCACAAATATCCGGAAATGTAATTTTTTTATTATCAAAAAAAATAAAACAATATATTTAATGTACAATAGTCATTAAAAAAAAATAATATCGTCTTATAATATATATATTTTTGTAAATAAAAATGTTATTTTATTTTTTATTAAATATATGTAATATCATTTTACTTGATATTGAAATTTTTCGACTCCATCGTCGCGTCAACACCGTTTTGTTGGAAGAATTTGTGGTAGGTCACTTTTCAAGGAGTTTGGATATTCTTGAATTTGTTGTATTTTAGTGAAATTTTAGAAGGTAAGATGACGAAGTCTGCTTTAGAGTATTTCATACTATCTCAAAAAGTTATGTTCTGGTGCAAGACATTTCGTAGCGAAGCCAGGAAATTCATCGATTCCTAGGCCCTAGGCTAGGCCATAACAACAACAAGTGCCCGGACTGTCACTCTGGCAACCGAACACTGCTAGCTGTAGTGTAGGCCTAGCCTCCTTTTCCTTGATTTCAGTAATCGGGAACATCTGTCCTGTTGTAGCCTAAACAACAGTAAAGGCTTAATTCGTTTGCTTATTATGATGTATTACCATACGTAGGCTAGGTAACTGATTCAATTGTTAAATATTGAACAATATTAATAATTTGTGTGGTGGAACATTCCATGCCATGCTGAGGCCGTTCCATGCTGTGGCCAGGTGTAGGCATTTTAAGCCTTTTGTTAAACTTCTTTAATCAACGTATGTAGCCTATAGTGTTATTCTTGTGCACAATGTATTTCTTTTATATACAGTATTTATCTTCAGGTACAGATGTGGATTTCTATTGAAGCAAATATAGTTTTATTCCTATCGTTGTGACGGTGTATTATATAAATAACTATTATGTTTTGTCTATATATATTCGCAATCCAGACGTGTATCTGTGAGCTAACTTACAGTTAAAGAATTGGTAAATAGAGCTAAGTTTCAGTGAAATATTTAAAACAATAAAACTCTTAAAAATTCTTATTCAAAACTATTTTAAATGGGATGCACTAGCTAAAAGCTTAAAGGTATGGATCAAGTTCATTGTACTATAAAATCAATTTTGCCAGTGCTTCCGCTTTATTCCACAAAAATTGTGAGTATTTTTTATTTATGCAGTACAGTGAAATGGTGATCAATATTTAAATAGTTTATTTACCATGGACTGAATGCTTGGACCATTTGTTATGGTTAATAACTATTGAAAATGTACTAAAAACAACTATTACATGCACTGTCATAGTCACACTTTTATTTACAGGACATTGCAACTATGCCGAATATTAAACTTCAGAGTTCAGATGGAGAAGTATTTGAGGTTGAAGTAGAGATTGCAAAACAATCAGTTACCATTAAGACTATGTTAGAAGGTATTTGCCATGTTTAATTTGTTTAATATCTTTTTTTGTTCTTAACCTGTAGGCTATATTTAAATCATGTAAATTTGTAGATTTGGTATATAAAATTAAAAGTTAATACACTTGGAGCCAGATTATAAAACTTGTGCATAGGCTTACAATATTTAATTCCTGATTTTTAATTAGGGTGCTTTCTATTGGCGACTACATAAAGCGTAATGACGTTATGTTAATTTAACTGTGCATGTCTGAACCTTGTGTATTACATTCTCCTGAAATCTAAGTTTAGGCTATAACGAGGACTGTACTGTATTAAACATTGGTACATCCATTCATGCGTTGTAAAAAAACCAATATGGATTTACAGTAGAATGGAAAATGTACGTGATAGTCACGGCTGAGTGAATTCGTTATACATTCTCTATTCTCCCCTGCCCCCTTCGCGTTCGCGCCTTGTCATGAATTATTTTTTGTTTTTGTTTCTTGTGGTTTAAATACACCTTAACCGTTTGAAGTCCCTAAGGGGTCTATTCTAGGTCGCTGGGGCCCTTAAAGCGGTTTTAATAGGTTTCTGAAAAATGCATAATAAATTTTTATGACTAACTTTCTGCAAATGTTGGGTTTGATTGTTGGGTAAAATGTTTTGGGCTTCCGAAAAATAGCAAAAGTTTTGACTTTTTTACCTAGGTCAAAGGTAATAATAGAGAAGATTGGGGTAGGGTTATTGAAATATGAGAAGGGGGGGGTCCATGTACATGACCAAACCCGAAATGAACATTTGCAGCATTACTGGTTGCGCTGCTAAAGCTTCTAGTTAAAATCTTTCCTCAGATTCATAATTATTTATATTAATAATTAAATAATTAATTAATAAATTATTATATAAACAATCCCGCTATCCTTGTTTATCCAAGTACATCAATCACTGACAGAAAAAATTGCCGATTTTTGCTTTATACAATCTCTAAGCCTTGTCTAGTTACTATGACGTTAGGGAAATCCCCTAAAAGAGTCACCAACAGAGGGCAGTTATTAAAAAAATAGGAGAAATATGTCTGTACCGCATCCAGGGACAGTAAATTACTCCGTATGGGATATAGACCACGACCTCAAAGCAACTGTTTTTTTCTGTGGAAGGCGCTATATAAATATATGACCATTGACACCTTGTTGCATCTGTGGTGCTGTCTCAAACTGTCTAGCATGGCTGGAAAAAGTGTGCGACCGCCGGTCAGATGCAGCATGAACTCCCGTAGATATTTTGGGGGAAAAATAATTTAAAAAATAAACTGGTGGGCTATATAGTGTACAGATAACAGTTGGTGGTGGAGGCATTTTATCGAGATAATTTTTGTGGTTGGAGGGGGGAAAAAAAATTTTTCCAGGCTGGCTGCCTAGACTAGATCTGTATTTTTTTTTTTTACTTAAAAAAAATCACATAGTACACTTAAATACTGAATCCAATGTTATACAGATTTGGGTATGGATGAGGAGGAAGAAGATGCTATACCTTTACCTAATGTGAACTCTGCCATCTTGAAAAAAGTAATCCAATGGTGCACGTTCCATAAGGATGATCCTCCTCCACCAGAGGACGAGGAAAACAAGGAAAAGAGGACGGATGATTTATGCGGTCATGATATAGAATTCCTCAAAGTAGATCAGGGCACACTGTTTGAATTAATTTTGGTAGGTATCCAGTTGAAGTACATGTTGTCCGACCATGAATATATGCAAGTTGTTGCACTAGATCGATTTCGTATTATGAAGTATGTAAATTTATGTTTAAAAAAAAAATAGGGTTTTAGTGTTTTTAATACATTTAGTACTTTTAGTAAATATTTTAATAGTTTTACTTTTGCGAGTGTGATAAGATTGACATGTAATGAATACTACAATGAACTACAAACATCTTAGCTTTGCAATTGTATCAAACACTTTATTCTAATCACAATCTGTGACCCGTAACAGTAAAATGAAAATGACTCACTTTTGGAGGTCCACGCAATTTCACACAACGAAGCTGTGATAATCGCGATTTCGTGAAAGTACATCAATAATGCTACGCTCAGTGTAAACAAACAAAATAGTGAAATACTTACTGTCCAGAATGAATATAGTGTTCAAAATGTTACAATTCCGCAAAAAAACCTGAAACACGGAAGTCTCTGTGTTTGATGTCAAGCGTTACGTTACCAAACACAGAGATCTCCGTGTTTGGCAGGCAGAGTGTTAAAGGTGTTTTTGAGGCCCTTATTGTAACGTAAGGCTTTTCTTTAAAAATGGTATGAAAAACAACAAAAAGTGTTCTAATCTTTAGAGGAGATTTTCTCAAAAGTATGTTTCCAGACATCTGAATTTTAAAATTATTTATTATTCATTTTTGCTTTGCCTACAGTATTTATAAATCTTAACAAAAACTCTGTTTTTATTGTTACAATTTATAGTTTTAATTGTACGCAATGATATTTGTTATCTCTTCTAGGCTGCCAATTATCTTGATATTAAGGGATTGTTAGATGCTACATGTAAGACAGTGGCCAACATGATCAAGGGCAAAACACCAGAAGAAATCAGGAAAACTTTCAATATTAAGAATGATTTCACACCTGGGGAAGAAGAACAAGTAAGTATTTATTGGGTTTTTTTTAGGTTTTTTTTGACATTTTTCTTCTGGGTGAGGAGGTGGTGGGGGAGTGGACTTAAGTATTACTGTGCTTTTCTTTAAAAGCAACAATCAAAATTTTGAAAAATTCCACACAAAATGAGCATTTCTAGTCCCATATTTCAATATGGTTTTGAACTGAGCTCCCACACATTTTTTTTAAAGTTAGGATGTCTTGTTAGGAAAGTAATTGTTCACTTAGTAAATATGTTTCTTTAATTTTGACTTTTACATATTTGTTTTAATATGTAATCAATTTTGACCTCTTTGAAAAACAAAAAAAGTGCATTTTCTAGAATAAATATTGGATTGATTAAAGGAATTTGTTATACTGTTATAAGTCAGCTAATTTCAGTCCTATTTCATGTCTAATAATATCAATTTTTGTGATTTTCTACAATTATTATATCTTTTTTCAGGTACGAAAAGAAAATAGCTGGTGTGAAGAGAAGTAAACAGACCTTTTCCCATTTACTGTATATAGGATTGTGAATTGCTTTTATCAACGTACTGAACTTGTTGTACATCATCTAGACTGCTTAACCTTATCCTACCACTGGAAAGAATCTCAGATACATGAGCATTACTTTTTGCAAGTTATATTAACGTGCCGAATATTGTTTGTCAAAAATGGCCAACTTTAAATATGCACAATTCTTTTAGTGTCATTAGGTGGGCAAAAATAAAATCACATATATAAATTTTAGACATGTCCATGCAAATCTACACAATAAACTATAAACTAATCTAGGTGGAAGGAAACGTGATGGTGTATCTGTTTTTTAAATTCTAAGGGCATTCTTTGATTAGTGAAATGTTTTAATGACAAATATTAATCTAACAAAAACTCTTTTGTGTGTTAATACATCTATCAAACTGCACCGCACATGAAACCACACCGGTGTCATAATTATGCATTTAGTTTCTACACAATTCCTACCATTTTGTCTAAAAATTATAGACATTAAAATATATTTGCATAGAGGCTTATACTCAAAGCGTTACAGCAGTAGAAGACAACAGGACGTATTTTATTTTTAAATGGCATCCATGCTGAATGGGACATGGCTATGTGAGATTGTGACTTGCGCCTTAGACGAGACTTTTTTATACCTTGTTTCGTGAATTTTTTTACGGATTATCAGAGGAGGGTGGAAAAAATAAAATTTTGGTTTTTTATAGCAAAGAGTTTTGCCAAAAACACAGAGGGTGAAGATAAAAATATAATTTGATTGGTGAATGTAAACAGAGTAGTAATGGGATGGTTAAAATGCTTTAAATTTATATAATTTGGAAGAAATATACATATTTTCAAGGCAGCAGCGTGTGTAATAAAACAAACAAAAAAACATTTTCTTAAATTTCCATTATAATTTGTCTGTGGGTGTGCTTCGGGTTTACCAAAGAAGGTGTAAAAAAAAGTCTTGCCTTGGCATAGAATCGTTTTCTGTTTCCGAAAGTTGTCCTTCGTTGCTGAGCATGTTGACTACAGAACAGGGAACTTTGCATACATGACAACATTGACACCGTTTTCACACACACCGTGTGAGTAGATCGCACTGTGTGCCTGACTATTTTTTATGCTGGCGCATGCTAGTGCTCTGTTAATATGTTTAACAGGATCAATCTTATGTAAAAATGTGCAATTCATTGGGTTACTGTAATAACATAATTTGGCGCTACATCAGAATGGATAAATTTAAATAAAGGAGTAAGCAGTATAGTGCTCTTCGCCATCATCAACTCTTGTTTCTCGCTTGTTGGACCGTTCTGGTGCCTCTGGTGTTCGATTATGTAACCTGTATTCAACAATAGTCGATAATTCGCATCTTAGTGATGTAAAAAGTATTTGTTATTTATGAATAATCTTTTTAACTAATAATATCAAACCCCAATCATATTCTGATTAAATATAATTTACACAATAACTTGCAGGAGTGGATCCAGTAGTGGCAGTAGTTTGCCATTAAATTTTTAAAAGTTCAAGGCATATGTTGAAATTAGTGCTCTTGCTTATCTATTCTGAATATGTTGTTCCCCCGTTTGATAAATTCTGGATCCGCCCCTGACTTGGAATTCAAATTCTTATAAACAGTGTTAAAGTGTATAAAAGATGATAATTATCACTTTTTTCACACTCTGACAGTAATTCATGTTCTTAGAAGATTTCTTGGCTAAACCAACCTAGCATGCCTTTTTCGTAGATTTTTATTATTTTGGTAATTAAAAATTTTAAATCAAAATTTATTCCAAAAAGACTAGGAAGATAAAAAGGTTTGATATGTTAAGATTTTGTTTTCGCGTGGCTAGTACATGTACATGCATGCAATGACATAATTAAGATTTAAACTGCCTTATAGTAACAGAGTATTGTAAATCTTAATTTTGAAAAAGTAGATGAAACCAAGCTTTCATGATAGGTTATTTAATGTAATTGCAATCTTTTTACACAAATGTGAACAGTGTTTGCATAGATTGTTCTTTGGCTGAGAAATACAGTATATACTGTAGCAGATGACGTATATACTGTAGCAGATGACGTATATACTGTAGCAGATGACGTATTTAGAATATATAGGTGGTAATGTTGTGATACTAGCTTCTTTATAACGCGTCATTCTTTGAAGTTGAGTTGTGAAAAAATAAAGTTGTTTTGTTTACGTGTTTACTTATGCCTGGCTTCCATTCTTCGTTTTGAATGTCGTACAGGGTGTGTCAGCTGAGCCCAGGTCTTGGGTAGCCCTGGTAAAATCTGTCTGAGAATTTGTGGGTTTTTAAGTTTTGGGCAACAAAGGTTTTCTTTGACCTTTTTGTAGGCAATACTGTTATCCAGCTGTTAACGTATTAGGAAATTGTATGTCAAGCCAAAATCGGTTGTTGATCAATCAAACTATCGAAGTTTTATTTCAGTCATTACATATACATTACATGGTTGTAAACTGACTTGAGGAAAATGAGGCCCTCAATATTAGGCACTATCTACATAAACTACTTTTGAAGGGTTATTAAACTATAGATTAGTTTGAAGTGCTATTTTGTAGTCTGGTTGCGGTAGTGGTTGATGAATGGAAATGGGTGGACTGTTTTCTAGATGAAGGATTTGGTTATTCTTAAGCGAAACTCGGCAGAAAATTTGAACTGAATAAAATATGATGCATACAGTTGGCAACAGAAAACAGATTTAAATACGCCGACAAACCCAATACAATATATGATAATATCATTCAATACAAACCTCTATTGTCCGTATATTAACAAACTTTATTGTAAACTGTTCTGCCAGACAAGTATTGGTCGTCAACTGGTCCGGTTGGCAACGTTATGCTGAATATTGAACAATTTAAAGACCATTTTCTTTGGAAAATGGTGGTTAGATTTTGGAATTGACAATAGAAAATGTCTTAGGTATTTTTAAAAGTTAACAAGTACTTTTGTGGTTGTAAAGAATTAAACTCAGTCGTTGGTATTTAGCCATCTGTTTGTTTGCCAAAGTCACTGAAAATCCCGGAAAAAAGAAATAGAGATCACAGAATAACTAAAGGTAATACTATATTTTAATTTCCAAAGGAGGATCACAATTCATATATGCAAGATGAGTTCCACAGCATTGCCACAGGTGAAACAGAGATATATCTGATAAATCTTCGAAACTGTAGTGGGTTAATACAACCGCTGTGCTCTCCAACAAGAATGGAGTGCTTCATAGATCATACAAACCAAAGCTTAAAGAAGCAAAGGAATAGTGCAGTTTTCAGATAACTCATTTACGTTAGACGGTAGGACATTCCTTCACTGACATCTGAGAGGATGTAACATTTGATGAAGTAGGTCTATGGGACTTCTGAAGAGAAATTTTTACTAAAACCGTATCTGTTTTTGTACATAGAATCGTTGTTCCAAAATGAAACAGGTCACTGGTACTTAATGCAGAATGTTGGCTGAAATGTCCTTCCTTACTGCCAATGTTTTCAGAGATAGGACTTACTATTATTGTGAACTGCAGCTATTTTGCATTTAAGCAATTTAGCCTTTTTCTTTGTCAGATTTTTGTTAGATTTTGGATATAATGTGTTTGATCAAAGGCCTACAAAACAGAATCCTGTTGCAATTGCTTTCCTAGGTTTTAGGTTTATCGATAGTGTGAGATTACCGAACTAGTATGCCAATGAAGCAGTCTTAACACCAGAATTATAGAAATCACACTAATCTTCAGAGAATATTTTAAACGTCAAGACACCACTCAGCCAAAACAAAATTCTCTGAAAAATAGTTTATGTATAACTGTTGACCAGCATGCTGTGATTGTCAGCATTTTAAACAAATACAAACATATAACGTACCAATTAATATTTTCATTGCTCAAAGGCAGTGTAGGTTTAAGCAAGTAAAGTTGAATAATCTGCACAAAAGCATCGCATGATAGATTTATTAATTGGCCAGTCAGGGAAATAATGTAGTGGTTCTGATTCTAGTTGCTTCTCATTTTTAGTTGTGTATCGTCTTCACTATTCCCAGTTGTTCAGTCCTTTAAAATATTGGTACAGTTTTCTCACATAATCCACAAAAGAAAAAAATAATATTTTGCATTTCCACATAATTACTTTTGATATTATTTATGCAAACCACAAAGAAGCTCTATTGATAAAACAGCACTGACATTTGTAAGCTAATTTAGTGCTACTGAGCCTTCCAAATAATGGCAATATCAACAATCTAGTGCAATTAAGTTATGTTTACAGTAAAATTGACTAGTTACAGTCAACAATATCAAAACGTTGTATAAACAGTTTATATAAAGATATTGCTTACGTTGGAGAGACAGCTACTCGCTCATGATCTGATGTCATTGATGCGTGTCGTCACACAACCAATGATAAAAGGCAAACTCAGGAAATTTACATTTTCAAGGTGACATTGAAATGTTACCGACTAGTTAATTCATCAACGATGAGGCTTTTACGCGACTCTTCGGTTCTGTGCTAGAAAGCTTAGTTACCATTAGGTCTCAATAATTTTCTAGCCGAGGCCTCTTCATTTAAACCAAGAAAATAAAGAAATGCAAGCATAAAAAGCGCACTGTCTTTCAGATGAGACGTGGAAGCCATTGGTCCGGTGCCATATGGCTCATTGTGCACGTTAAATAACGCAATGCACTCAGTTCGGAAAAGAGTGGGGGGATTGTCGTTAAATAACGCAACGCACTCAGTTCGGAAAAGAGTGGGGGATTGTCTCCCCAAGGTAATTCAACAAAAGGACGCACATCTCCGCTCTCGAACATAGCGCGTGCGTACAGTCCTTTGATCTTTACTGTGGCATCGACAATCCGATACTAGTTGCGAGTACAGCCGTCAATTATTAGT